GCCGAAGTTTGCAATCAAGGCTTCCGCGAAGGATCTGGAGTACACCTGAGCTCGCTGCGTCAGAAACTTGCTTCCGGATACCCCTGCAAGCTGGACGTGCTGGCGCCTTGTCCGACTGCAAACCCCACCGTGGCCTGTGCATTTCAGGAGCGAGGCTTGTGGCGCACACCAGTACAGCACAGCAGTGGGTTTTCTCCACGCGGCGCCATACTGACACTGATCTGCTCGGATCAGCTGCACGTGTGGCGACAGCAGGAGTTTGCGAATGCCGGGTGTTTTCCAAAGCTTTGAAGTCAGTGGGTTCTCGAGGTAGCCCGGTATCTGGAGCTTCAAGCACTTTCTGATGACCTTCATTGCTCCGAAATACATATGATTAGCATCTTGCACTTTTTTCTGTTCCACGTCAGAAAGCCCTGAGAGACCAAAAATGTCTTGAGGAGATATGCCGCGAAGGGCCCTGGGAAGCTTTGAATGCTTTGGTGCCCGCCTCGCCGCACTCCAAGTATTGCAAGGAAGGTCAATGCCAACGGCCTGGAAGGAATGAATATGACTAAGGATTGTATTCCAGACATTCATCTTGGAAAGGTCGTTACTGGGCGAATCGAGAACATCGATCACGCATGCACTGCCGCCTCGCTCAGCGAAGAGACGTGCACCTTCAGCTAGGCCCCCGAAAAGGCTCAGGAAAGCTTTCCCTTGGAAACAGTCTGCATGCGCCGTCTGATATGCTTTGGGAGCTGGCATGTACCACCGAGGTACCAGCTCTCGAAGTTTTGTCTCACTTGCTCTCCAAAGGCACGGAGTCGCTCTCCATGCTTGTTCATCACCTGCTGTAAGCGGCCTGGCTTGTCGTAAATCCGAGCACTGCTGTCCGAGGCCCATCTGCCTCTGCGCTGTATGGCTTGGATGGAACGCAGCCTGAGCAAGTGATCCCTGCTGGCTCCTCCATGACGATTCTGGTATGGAGTGACGGCAAGATCCTCTACGTCCAGGATGCTCACCGCCTGTCTCCACAGCTCCAAGTACTCTCGGGCACTGAAGCTCCACATGTCCGCTTCCTCGCCGTCCGCCTTCTTCCGGCGTGTCACATGGTGCTGCATCGCCCTCTCGAGCCAAGGC